ACGGGACAAGCTCTCTGTCAGCTTGAGTTGAGAGGGTTGGCTGTACGAAACATCAACACATGACGTCGTCGCTAACACTATACTGTATTCTTTTTAATTAACACACAACAAACAACATTTATTTTCTGCTAAAACTAAGTCAACAACAGCACATAAAATTCACTTGAAGAAAATAAACTATACCCTGTAATTTTATGTCGTAGTTAGTCTTTTGTTTAAAGTTTTACCGAGCAGGCTACGTTACTCCATTGCTTAATTGCACAATTGGAGAAAAAGAGTAGGTAGATACCATCAAAATTATTACCCCTGACAAAGGGCCGGGGTGGAATAGATCCATGATTTTAGATCTGGTGTTACTGTTGACCACGGAGCGGAATATGTACCATACGCTAACGGTTTGTATCGGTTGCAAATAGCAATTCGCCAACTTGATGAGTGCTTTCGAACCATGGAGATAATAGGTACAACTTGGATTTCCAATGCCCTGTAATAGTGGTGCTGATGATTAGAAAAAGAGAGACGGAAATTAATAGTACTTTGTGTCTTTGGTTAAAATAATATAATTCTATTAATTCTATATTCCCAACTGTGTATTAAGTCGGAAAAAAAAACGGGAAAATGTCCTAAAGTTTCTTGGGGTGTTTTGGCACAATTTTTAATTTTAAATTTTCCCTGTGAAAGAAGAAGCCTAGAAAATTGAAATGTAGCATTATTTTCTTTTACGTTATGTACTACATAGAATTTAATTTATCAATAAAGTGCATATCGAATTTGCTCACTTAAGGATTTATTACCATGGAAAAGTGGCTTTCTGTACACATTCGCATTGGCCTATTTTTAAAATTTGTTGTGGAAACGCTTATTGTCTGTAACGAAACAATACCCCGCATTTAAACAGTGAACGTGACTGGTAATACGAGAATCTTTTTTTGTGTATTCTTACGAAAAAGTTGCTTTAAACGCCCGACAGAACAGGAAGAAGGACGGTGATGCTGGGACATGTTTTAAATTTAAACTATCATCATAATTTTGTTCCGATGTTAAGCGTTAAAGATTTCACTTGTAACGTTTTTCTATTATAAGATTTGGCTCCTCCTCCAAAATTTAAAATTCCAGTAACACACAATCACGTTTATTATCAAAAACACACAAATTATACAACTTAAATACACAACAAAAAGGACCCAAAACAATTTGAATACATAAAATGAGATAAAAACAATTTACATTATTTTAAAAAACTAAAATACTGGTATGCAAGGGAAGAAAAAGTAGGGAAAGAGCGAATATAAAGATAGGAGACGAAACATTTGAAGAAGTGGCTGATTTTAGATACCTAGGAAGTCAGATAAGTCAGGACGGAAGGACTAGTAGGGATATAAAGCAGAGGATAGCGCAGGGTCGAGTCGCCTTCAATAAAAAGAAGTCACTTCTATGCTCGCGAACGGTTAATTTAGAAATTCGAAAAAGG